GTTCAGGCAAGAGTACAAAGGCTTTATGACGCTGTGCACAGATTATTGTCTTGAAATATAATTTGAAAGAGTTAATAATCATTTGCTGTAACAGAACAGAGAGCTAAATAAATGTGTATGAGCTTCTACAGCTCCACTTGATCGCTCGCCCTCATCCCTGCTGCACAGGTGGGCCAGAAGAACAGAAAACATACCCTCCTCGGGATTTCATCCCCACCTCTAAGGTGGGAATACAGCTTGCTGCTTAGGAGAGCAAAGCCAGATGCCGTCTTTGCAGATGGCCTGCACCAAGGGTTCCTGGCCAAGCCTGCATCCAAGCTGCATCAGGAGGAAGTAGCTTCTCCCTGTGCAAAGCCAGCCACAGTATGTGCCATGGATCTCCATCTCGTACAGAGGAAATGGCCCTGCCATTTAAATTTTCATGCCACTGAACAGCAATTTGCTTTTGCTTTTTGATTTACACCTTTCTGTTTATTCCTATAAGTGAAATTTGGCTGCACCAAACATCTATCATCTTTTTTTCTTGATGGTAAGGCAGTGCACGTCAGGGACAAGGCCAAGAATAAAACACTGGCTGACAACCTTGCAACCACTCCCTATCCAAGGTCCTAGTCAAATCAAGTTATGCTATAACGTGTCTGTGAACAGAGTCTATAACTTCTATGAATTCAGTCCTCGTGCTAGGTTTGGCCATTTGGTCATAATAAATTTGTTTTCTGACCCATTGATTCAATAAACTTAATTTCAAAATTAATCTTTTCAGGCTTCAAACTCACTGGATCCAATTATGAATCCAATAGTTCCTCTTAAAATTAATATTCTGAAACTTAGTGGTCTAACGCTTTTTGCCCTTATGTGCCTCTTTGGTACTTACCTTTATATTAGTTGGCCTATAAAATTAAATATCTTAGGAAGAGAGCATCAAAATGACTCCTAATCTTAAATCTACTCAATTACAAACATTAGTATGAAATGCTCCCTTTCCCGAATCACTTGCTTTTAGTTGGTATTATTATGCACAACGGGTTTGTGTGCTAATTCATTATCTATATTTGACTATGCACACTAGACCAAACAGGAACGAGAATTTAGATTTTGGTTATTTTTTTTTAGTAGTGCTGCTGGTAGTTGGGGGTTTTTCTACATTAGATATAGTCTAAACACTTCACTCTCTGCCTAAAGGGGCAAAAAAATCAATTTTTTCTTCATTTATTTCTAGTAATTTAGATAAAATTACAGTCTGTGGGGAGACCTATTATAATTGCAAAAATATATATATTTCTATTCTTGCAAGGCATGGTTGCTAATACAGATAATTTTAAACGGTCATGACTGCAGGATACTCTGGACAGAATTTGCATTTCTTATGAGAAAAGCAACTTCCAGTCACACAAGGCTTTCTCTTACCAGCCTGGGGCATGAGTGGCACGGCTCTGCCATGACAAGGCACAGGGGACCAACGCACATCTCCAGGGCCAGTCAGATGCTAGCTTAGCCCGGTGCACTGCTTCAATGCCTGTGGTGTGAGAGGACTGCGGAAGGGTTATGTGCAGCCGTTTCCCACCCAGCGTGGGGCTTTGGGGGCACCCATGTTTCAAGGAGATCTCACTTTGGTGTGCATTGTTCCTGCCTGTTAATAGGGTGATTACAAAAACCCTAATTCTGAACACCGTAATTGGCATGCAGGAATACGTAATCGGCAGTGTTACTTAGTGGCATTTTGAGACACCAGCAACGATTTATTCTTCACTGTTTAAATAGTCCTATCATTGTAAGTAAGTGCTTATCACAGCACTTCTTGTCTGGGGAAGAGAGGGAGCACTGCTCAGCGTTCTCCATTAGGAAATTCAAGCCTTAAACCAAGTGACCACAAAGTTCTATCAGCTCCCTGAAATGCAGCAGCTGTACATATTTAACGTAATACAACCCCATATTGTTGCAGAGGTCTGCTGTTTAAAACACACATAAGGCAGGTGAAACGTGACTATTTCACTCCTCTGTTTGAAAAATGAGAAAGTGTGGAGCGGTGTAACTTCTCAAACACATAAATAAGCATTAGGCTCATGGAGGAGACAGGTATGCTGTTGGACTAGCAATAACAGATTAAAGGTCAGCGGTTAAATCTGAAACGATTGCAACCTTGTTCTTTCAATCTTGTTCCTCAGCACTCTGCTCTATTACTAACAGGTCAAGTGCAAAATAAGAAGCATGAGAGGCTGCTGAATTCTCCCACTCCTTTAATTTAATGGCAGCATTTCCCAAATATTCTGTCCCCTGATCATTTAATGACATCAATACATATGGAGTGGGTAGCTATGGATTTCCCTTGCTAGGTCAGATTCTGTATACCTATTGAAATCACAAGTGCAAAGAGGGAGAAAATTTGATTCCGCAGCTTTCTTTGAAGCAGAGACAATGTAGCAACCAACATTATCAATTCTATGTTGTCTTGTTGTTAGTCATATATAAAAAATCATGTATGCTATGCATTTCTGGATAAAAGATGCTGAAAATATCTAGAACTGCTTAGCTGCAAGAAGTTAATACTGATGTAGGAAAGGAAACCAGTGGGAAGAAGATGCTCTTAGTTGTCCCTCATCAAAATACAAGGACAAGAAGGCATCCAGCAGAGAACACAGGCAATAAATTTTAACTTAGGTAATGGGGAACTTTTGCAGTGTGATGCCTGAGTGATTGAAATCATGGGCATAGACTACTAGTGCTGATTCCTACTGCTCCAGGCTTAGTAACAGGTTTAACTACACCTACACTTTATATTAATACGTATTTATTTTAGTAGGGGACCTAAACCTTCTTTTGGGATCTAGGCTATCAGATTAGAGATAACACACCATCAACTGGTTGTACTTTCTCAATGTTTCCTGAGTTATCTGGTGCTCATCACTGCAGTACACATAGGACCATCTAAATAGGATCACCTGCAAACTCTTCATTCTTAAAATCTATGAGGGCTGCTCTGAAAGTAATACCTCCTATTGTATTATGTTGGCCCAAAATGTCAGAGGTGGATGTCGGTTGTATGGCAGTAGAGGGTGAACCTTCCCACCAATATCCCATGTTGTTGCCATGTAAAAGATGGCAGCAGAAGGGCACTCTGAAACAATGGTGTCTGACATGGAAGTGCGTATAACGCAAAGGCACGTCACTGAATTCCTCCATGTAGAAAAACTTGCACCCATTTACATTCGTTGATGCTTGCTGAACACTGGAGATGGAGATCAAGCAATGGATGTGAGCACAGTGAGGTGGTGGCGCCTTTCAGCAGTGGCAACAGCAACATGAAGACAAGGCCCATTCCAGACAGGCATGCAGATTTTTATGAGCGCGGCATACATATTCCTGTTCATGGCTGGCAAAAATGCATAGTTAATGGTGGTGGCTATGCTGAAAAAGAGCATTTCATAGCTGAGAACTTCCTCTATTAAACAATGTTAACATGCTCTTTGTATCTGTTGTAGTTTCCACAGAAATAAATAGAAGGCATTACTTTCAGAGCAACCTGAGCATCTAACTCATGCCAATTTGTGACTCAGAGTCATGGGCACATCATCTGAATGTGATCTGGATCCTGTTACACAACAGTGTCTTTACACACTTTAAGAGACATTGAACTGCATATGCATGCATCTACATGTGAGTAGGTACATGGGAGCTTGTTCTGAAATGAGGAGCATCCTAAGAGCATGTATTTCCCTCTTCTACATCTCTAGAAAGAAGGATGTAAGCTCCACTCCTGGCAGAAGGATCCACGTGACTTTAACTTGCCTGTCTGCTCCAATAGACATTATGAGCTTGATTCTCCAAGACTGCCACTGAAATTCCACTCTACTGATTTTTGCAACCTAATTCTTCAGGCACTTTTTCTTGTTGTTGTTTCGGCAGGATGATGTGACCCAAATTTCTAAAGGAGGGTAATTTGCTATAACATTACATCTTGATTCTAGGATCTATATGTACTTATGTGTTATTCCCACACATTTAGCATACTAGACTTGAAGAACTGAATTTTATTGCAACTTGGCAGGCTTTGAATGTTTTGTAGCATCAGGGAAAACAGTATCATTTAGAAAGCCAAAATTTGAAGGATTTTTTGAATAATAAATATCTGTAAGACCATAAAGACTATCCAAAGACTCCTCTTGCACTAGTGAGTCCCAAAAGGCCACAGTTACTTTTTCAACAACTACAAATGCTGGAGCATTCCTATGTTATTTTTCTTTAAATGCCATTTAGCACATACTGCTGCAGGAAGACAGCTGCTGAAGCAACCTAGAGGGCATTTTCAAGCACTGTACTTCAGCGATTACAGCAATTTTTGTAGGCATTCAATATTAGGATTACATTCTAATTTTAGGCAAAGTTAAATTTAAATTGAGTAGGAGGGGGTTTTCATGGTACTTTAGATGTTCTAGTATTGCTTACCTCAAACCAAAAATGTATAGTGTCTGAATTTTGCGGCCATGATGATGTTATGAGCCACAGTACACTTGAAAAGAGCAAAACTACAGCTCACTAGCATCAGGCAGATGTCCTCTGCCACAATGGGACCCAGACTTAGGCTTTAAAAGCACAGCCATGATCTCACTGCCATGGGACTTGGTGACACAGCTCCCACTGCCTGGTAAGGATGAGGCTGTCGCACACAGCTACCCTCTCCTATATTTGCATGATACAAATTAGTGGTGTGCGTGCAGCAACCATCCTGAAACCCTAAGGCCAAACTGGGACTGGTATACTCCTGTTGATGTTTATCTAAGCCCTTTGATTCTCTAAAAAACCCATGCATCTAGCTGAAGGGAACTGAAAGAAACAAGGTTAGTAAAGGGCTGACAGTCCAACAGACAATACAGATGGAAAGTGAGGGACTGGGTGAAACAGAAAACAAAAGAAAAGAGCTTCTGTTAGATGCTAAATGAGACCCAGGCTGGGCCAGTTAAAGCTATGTCTATGCAGGTTACATCTTTCCTTATTTCTCTTACCTTGTTTCTCTTGAAATATGCTCTTCGGCAAGCTGCAAAGCACTTCTCGCTGCAGAAGCATTTCACTTCACTTCCCATACTCAGGGAATAGCGCTTGATTCCAACTTTCTGGCACCAGGCACACATTATTTGTACATTTGACACATCATCTTCTACAACAAAAATATAAGAACAATGTTTACATGAGATGAAAACACCTTCCTCAGACATCTGCACACTTACTTTTAGCGCAACCTGCACCGGCTCATCTTATTTCTAACCTCCTTACCATTTGGGAACAGAAATGTGCCTGCCTGCCTGCCATTACCAGCTCATTCACAAGCAGCTGATGACCTGTGCCAACCTGGCTCAGTAGATTAGCAGAGCTTCGAAGGATGGCTGGAAAAGATTATTAGCTTAAAAACGATGCATTGCTGAAAAGCTCTGGAAGCCTCATGAGCTTTTTTTTCATGTATAAGGGTGCACAAGTCTTTATTAAATAAGCAACCCAGAACAGAGGCTTAGTAAGTCCTGCTGCCTCTCTCTCGTTGCTTACAGTTCTGTGCAGTGAGCACTTCAGATATTCTGCTCAGCAAGCTGGTGACAAAAAGCATCTGGGTGGTACTGCACCAAAGCAGGTCTCTAACAAAAGTTCTCTGTTAAATAAGAAACGAAACATCCCATTGCAGTGCTGTTTTGAAATAATGACTGATGTAGAAAAAGAGAGCTATCATTGGAATATAGCAGTCACCAAAACCTGCACTTGAGCAAGAAGGGAGATGCAACACTGGTGAGGTCTGCCAGGTTACTTCTCTGTCTTTGTGCTCATCAGCCAAATCTGAATCCAGAGCCCTTGAACCTCTTTCAAGGTCCTCTCAATCACGTGCTACAAATAAGAGGTGTATGCCTTCTGAGATGTACAACTGGAATACTGCAAAAGTCCTAACAAGGTTCTTGTGCATTCATCATCTTCACCCCACTTCACAGGCAGGGAATAGTTAAGCCTCTTAGGCAGATGACTGCTGCAAGTTAGCAGGAATCTTTTGACTTAAATCCCAGAATTCTTCAGTTCTGATGTCCAGTCTATTGTACAGCGTGACCTTTCAGTTACAGGCAGCTGCCATTGTCTAACTGCTGGAAAAAAAAGTCCCCGAAGACTAATTGTTAAAGCAGTGCCTCGTCCCCGAGCAGCAGAGAATTCATGGCTCAGAGAGTCTGTCATGCAGCCATCCCATTTCCCTATAAAGGATTTGTTTTCGAAGCTACGCTGTCATCGTTCTGTAAAATTATTGGCAAACTAATTTTTAGCGGAGTGATTTGGCTCCTTTCCCCAGCTCTCATAACTCAGAACTACGTGCAGCATTTTATTCCACCTTAACGGAATAAATACTGCCAGTTTAATAACTTTTTCTCCTTCTGCAAATTGTGTTATGATTTATAGCTACAGATAAAATTGTACAACGTTAAAAAAAAATGACCTTTTAGTTTTAATCAGACTGTCTACCTTTAAAGCTGTATTTAAGGCTAAGTTGTAACATAGATTTGTGCTTAATGCATTTTATCATTTAGTCTTTAGAGCAGGATTTGCCAATATTATAAAAGCTGTAATATATTGAACACCAAGGGAAATCACAACAATTTGGACAGGATAACCACCAGCTATACGGAGGATAAAGAGGCCTGCAAGCACCTGCCTGCACCAGCCTGGAGCTAACTATCCCACCAGGGCACAGCAGCATTTCTCTCCATTCTTATCTTGACCAAGCTTTCACAAAGGAGCCCTGATTCAGCTGTCTTTGCACCAAAATAAAGCCATTCCTCACAGGCTGAACTTACTCTTTGAATACATCACAACAAGTGAAATTCCCATGAGCCAAAGGAAACAGCCAGCAACCCCTTGTTTCAGATAACAGCAGCATATATTCTCCTACTGACAAGAAGTATTTTATCTCCAGAAAGTGGAAGATCTACCAGAGATAACTTTATAACAGCCTTGTTACTGGTGAGAATAACTGTCATTAATGAGGAAAGAAAATTATGGAGCTGAAAGAGAATTCACGGGCTAAATAGGTGCTGGAGCACCTTGTTTTGAAGTAGGCTGGCTAATCACAGGCATAGACCTAAAGGAGAAGCACAGAGCTCTGACACCAAGATTCCCAGCAGTCTTCATGCACAACTTAACAGGGGAGATACATAAGGATTCAACTCCTGACCACTGACACACACTGACTGCCTCCTGGGGATGATCAGAACGATCACAAAATTGCTCAGTTTCAATTAAAGAGCATCCCAGCAGCAACTGTTTAAAGGGAAGGCCACGTTACAACTTCCCTGCATCAGGTTATGCAGGAGAGTAAAGCTCAACACACCTCCTTTTGCCAAAGGCTCCCTTCAATACAGACCCAGACAAGAACAGCAGTGGCAAGCAGAGGCACCTGCTTGGTCAAGCTATGGTCTCCTCATGCTCTGCAGAACTTTATTACTACCTCAAGGAGAACACTTCGAAGAAAAAACACTTAATATGTGATCCATAGAACTGACAGTCAATAAAACAGCAGAAAATGGCCCATCATCTACCTCTAGCTGCTGCCTGCACCTCCAGGAAAAGCATCATCTACCTCTAGCTGCTGCCTGCACCTCCCGGAAAAGACAGCTGATATCCAGAAGGCATCATCAATATTAATCAAAATGTTCATTGTTTTGAAAAGGAGAAAAGTGAAAGTGAGGGAAAGAGCCTGCCTAAATACAAAGAACTTCAGTTATTTCTCTATTCCATTCCTTGCTCCCTCCACCACCAAAAAATAGCCAGACGCTATACAGTCCTTTTCATAGTAACAGCAATAATAAAAGTAGATGCCTCTTCCATCAGCAAGGCGTAGGAACACTGCAACGTGAGGATGAACTGCATATAGCCGTGTAAAGCAGCCAGCAAATAGCAGTACTTAGAAGGGGGCAGAGGGCATGCAGATTTTTGATGCAACTGCATCTTCTTGTAATGCAATGCATCAGGTGAGAAAGGAAAACTTCCAATATCATGTGACTAATTCTCCATGGACCGTCAACCAAAGTTCTGTGGGAGGGAAGAATTTGCTATAAAACCAATTCCTTTCTTTTAACTTCCAGTGAAGCTGCAAACATTCCCAATGGGTACAGAGCCATGCCTGGCTGACATAGCAGGGTGTGTGGCTGACAGCTGTGGACAACTGTAACAGTCCAGATCAGGCAGTGTGCTTTCTTCTTGACACTGGTTGCAGCAAGGATCTGAGCAGAAGCTGTGAAAGCACTTGAGGGATGTTTCACTACAGAGCATTAAGCTTAGTGACCGGAAAAGAGGACTGCTACGTTAACAGAAAAGTTATAGTCCATGTATTTCTACTATTGCAATCCACAGCACTGGGAAGCAATAAGCTTAAAAATCCATTAAGGTTGTGTGAAATAAGGAAAGCCAAAGGCTAGTGATTTAATTGCAGTCTTCCTAAACACAAACTGGAATAATCCAAACTCACTAATTCAAATCTACCATTCAAGACTACTCTCACTTTTTCACAGACCTTTGTCTCAGATGGCCAAATTCTTTAAAAATCACTTTACCAGACTCTCGTCCTTTCAGGAAAATCTATCAAATCCCAGTATCTGCAACACTCAGCAAAAAAAACCTGGGACAAGAATGCAGGGCAGCAGGGAATTTCAAATTGAGTAGCTTGAGACTGCATCCTGAATGCTTCTTCTAAACTCTTTTAGGCCAGGTCTGCACTAAGAAAGCTGCTTCGCAATAATTGTGTTGGTGTACTACATCAGCAATGCTCTCCTGTGCACACAAACTTTGCTGGTAGCCTCGCTGTGGCTATCAACTTGACTGGCATGCGCACACCCCAACAGCATGCCCACATCCATCATACGAGCTCGCTGAAGCAGCTCTCTTGATGAAGATCATTCAGCATCACTTTCAGGACTCACATAGCTAGGCTGAAGCATGGTTTAAAGTACAAAAATAACATCTACAAGTCTTAGGACAGATCGGAGGGGGTGGTGAGGTGCTGGAATGGGTTGCCCAGAGGGGCTGTGGATGCTCCATCCCTGCAGGTGCTCAAGGCCAGGTTGGACGGGGCCCTGAGCAATCTGATCTAGTGCTTGATCCAGCAGTTGGCAACCCTGCCTGCAGCAGGGAGGCTGGAACTTGATGATCCCTTCCAACCCAAGCCATCCTATGATTCTATGATCATTTTGAAGTGAAAGCAAATTTTTCTTAATCAACTGCATTTTTTCTCCCCTGTGGGCTTGCTTTATGAACTGCTCTTGTACTATGCTAAGTATGTTCTCAGATTTGTCACACCTATGAGAGGTAGGACGAAGGGGAGCTGGTATACTGACACTGAATAGTAACGGGAGAACTTTCAGCAGAATATCCACACGGCTACTCCCTATATCACATCAGGTAATAGGAAGACACATTTCTTTCACATACAGCACAAGACCTGAATTTCCAGCCTCTCCTTTTGTGAGTTCTCCACTCTTCATACAAAGCATTGTAAGAAGAGCTATTGTGGGAGTTGAAATGCCTTGCTTTTAGTGCCTCTGGGTTGTGTCATTACAGGTGGAAGAAGCACTCCCTGCACCCACTGCACAGATACTATTCAGATACATCTCCTTGTGGTTTTTTGCCTGTGTATTTTTCATAATGAACAATGCAATAAACATGGTGTGTTTGCAGTGTTAAATCATGTTCCCAAAGGGAGCAGTTTGTATAACAAGATAAAATTATCACATTATAATAACTAAATATGCATCAGTCTAGAGCATGCTCCAATTAATCATCAAAAGTTTGCACCGCCTCTTTAGGTCTTAATTAAGCAGAATGTTTGGTGTTTTTTTTTCCCTTCCAACCAGTGTAAAGGAGCTGCAGAAAACTGTTCCTCTTAAAGCCAATGAGCAGCAGTTTAGACTAATCGATCTTATGTGGAACCATAATTTGGAGAGGTGGAGAGAAGGGGAGGAAGCCAAAGAGTACAATAGAGCAAATCCATCATGGATAGCTCTGTCCCTTTATCTAGGCAAACAAGCACGGCCTGCAGTGCTTAGAAGGCTGATCCTAAAATCCCTGCAATTCAGGAGTTAAGTCCCAATCAGTTTGCTAACTTTAAGACTGCAGCATTCTGCTAACACTGTTTTGAAC